CAAAACAATTTTGGACACAGGCATGAAGAAGGAATGATTACAAATTATGAAAATGCAAGATTAAGATGAAACTCTATATATACAATTATGTTGTGTAATGTAAACCCCTCTAGCCCTCTCTTGTGAAACTCCATCTCACAAATGAAAACCCCAGAAAAGGAGGAAGATGGACAGAAGTGACAAAATTGTGTTTATAGAACTGCATGGTAAAGCATTGAACATGTTTTTTATGTTTGCTCAATGTTTACATTTAAAACCAACAGACACATTGCTTGCAAGCATTGGACTGTTTTTAAATTTTTTAGTGAAGTCTAGATTTATTAACTGTGAACTTAATAATTTATTGAATGTCAGATCAAATCAAGTGTGACTGAGGAGAATAAAAACATTAACAAATAAATCACAAACAATGTAACAAAAATAATAATTCAGATATATATTGCAGGGAACAAAATAGCAATTGAAGGAATTTTGAAAGTAGATCACTTTCATACAATATTAACAGTATTACAATAACCAACAATTTAGATTCATGTTGAAATTACCCATTGAGTTGTTTGGGGTTGAAGGTATTGAAAAGAAACACAACACAGTATTCAATTTACTTTTTTTTGATAATTGAAATTAGCATTTCTTTTTCTTTTTGGACAAACTCAAACACCAGCGCGCACAAACACACACTGTAATAAAATGCAAGTTTATTTATGCACAATTACACGCCCCCCCCCCCCCCCTCCTTTTTTTAGACTACACTGACATTTTCTTCATTTTTTGTCTGTTGCCATGAGAATAATTCACTGATATAGTGTATAGCAGATTAAGGCTTTCTTTTGCAGTTGCTTAAATTAATCATCAGTTAAAATAAATAAATACAATGCATATTGCACTAAAAGAACATACTTTTAGCCACTAAAAATCCCAAACTGTGTCAACATTTTTTTAAATCCAAAAAATCCTATTTAAATTTTAAAAATCTGTTAAATTTTAAAAATCTATTTTTTTATTTTCAAAATGCAAGCATAAGTGACTGTTTTCCATTTTTTTGTGTGAAGTCCTCTCATTTGGCTTTGCATTTGCTTTTTTCTTTCATTTTCTGTGACAGCTTGATATAACTCCTATCTGATTTTCATTCATTCTTTTTGTTCTTTCATTTCAGCTCAATTTTTCCTTTTTCATTCTGGAGAAAAGCATTTACCTGCTCCATCCTACTGTGGAGACTTTCTAAAGATTTTATTTTATCTGGCAGCATTCAGTGCATTCAATTACCAGCTTTGGACATGTCTTAATATTTGCGTTAACAATATCAGGGGGGTTGTTAGTTATGTTTTCGAAGTAGCGGCCTGTTTGTCAATTGTGTTTGTGTTCATAAAAATTTTCTTTGATAAAAGCTCCTGAACAGTTGGAGTTGTACTATTTTTCTTTTTTGTGTCCTTAAGCAAATTATGGTTGTATTCAATAAACAAAAGATCTGAGTTTTGCAACTATGATGCAGACATTGCAAATTAATTTGACCCGCACAGGTACAAAAAACTAACCTCATTATCTATCTGCCTCTCTTTGGACAAATAATGAATGAGATCTATAACATTTTCGTAAGTCAAGCTTTCATTTCCAACTTAATTAAACAAGTACAAGGGGTTAAAAATATTCATTGTTCAGTCAATGCCACAAGCATCCAGGAAAAAAGACACAGTTCACTTTCAGTGGCCTCAGCAAAAATCCACACAGAATGTCACTTTCCAGAGTCAGTGTTTTCTGCACCACATTCACACTTCCTGACCACACAAATGGTGTCAAAGATGAGTTTTGAAAAAAGTTTCTGAAACCACTCCTTTTCATTTTCCCTTGTTCTCCAACTAAGTGACGCATTACGAAAATCTTGTTGGTAGCAGGAACATCCAGAAGGTCTGGCTTCCTCCCTTTTCCAAGATGAATCATTGTGGCACACAGACCACTGTACATTTCTGCATCTGTGGATTAAATTCATAAACAAAAAAGTTTAAATAAATTCTGAAGCACACTGGCCATTGTAAGTTTTTGCTTCTGTGGATCAAAATCACATGATATGGAACATTTAAATTTTAATTCTGAAACAATGAGGGGTATTACAATTTCTAGATAGAAATATTTAAAACTAATTTTTCTGCAACTGTAACCTTTATCAAGCATCTTAGGGCTAAAAGTTCTGAGTAAAAATAAGTTGTGAAATAATGACAATGACGTGATTAATGTGAAGAATTACTTTTATACCAATATGTATATTCTAAAACTGTACACTGGAAATCTAGCACAGATTGTATCTCATTCCCTAACATGCTGTGAGTAAAAAACACCAACATTTTTTTTCAGTCTTAGAAACCACTGATAAAGATTTGAAAGTCAATCCCAGCTTCCTCTTCTCTGTAAATACGCTTTGAGATCTACAATTATTTGCATGATAGGGTGAAATCAAATATTTTGAAATGCTAAAAAAAAAAAGCTAATTTACAGCAAAAATTGAATGACACAGTGGGTTGGAAAATAATATCTAAACTCTATCCAATTACCTACAAGTACTACGAGAGAACTTACCAATTGGTTTCCAAATTGCACTAGTAGTCATTTTGTGTGTTGCAGTGTCCGAAGAGGCAGCATCCCCACCAATGCTTGTCCCGTCTATCTTGTCAAAATCCACCCTGTAATGTAAATCAGGAAAAGAAATTCAGTCAAAACTGTTGGGAAGAAATACATTACTGGGTATGTAAGTATATATAATATATATGTGAACATTAAATGCTCGTACTATTATAGTACGGCCAAACATTCGTAGTGCAACTTATTGTCAAATTTACCTTAATACCAAACATAGACTCTCCAACTTTTGCACAATGACTTGTATCAATAGTATTTCTTAACAGATCAATATTTTTGTACACACACCTGTTACTTGTATTCTAGAAAATTCCTAAAATAATATATGTGAGGCAGCGTGGTGGAATCAGGTTCTCATCAATTTTTGGGCATGTAGAGTTATTGGTATCATCTTAAAGCTTGTTCACTTGTCTTTATTTGGATGAAAAAAATATCCATTTATCTTGAATACAAGTCGAGATATTAGCGAAAGAAGGAGGTGGGGGTCACCTGTTTTCAGAGGTAAAATTAGAGAGAAAATGGCCGCCAAAGATTAGTTTTCCTTAGCTTAAGAGTCCGTGGTAACTGAAAATTTACATTCTTTGTGCTTTTAATCAACGCTTTTCAGAAAAATCCACTCAGAAATGAGTTCTTTAAAGGGCATGAAAGGTGTTGAGCCAAAAAACAAAAAATTTTTAAAATTCACAAACCTGCAAAAAAATGCAAGTTTCTTCACTTTGATTATTTTGACGAGAGCCTGATTCCACAATGCTGCCTCACATATACTAATTGAAATATCAAGTGGGTGGTTTTTACAGATTCTAAAAGGTTTATATAGCTGGGGCAATATTGCTTTTAAAAGCTAGTCTGTCATCTTTTTCTAATCATGACATTATATGCTTATTCTGCTGCACTTGTTCTGCAAAAAATGTGTTCACTATAAAATTAATTTCTTATAAAAAGTTTTGCCATTGGAAAGCTGTGATGTTGGCCATAATTTATACGTATACAAAATGTGTATGATCGCGGGAAGAGCTGTGAACTAGTCCCATCTTCCAAGTGGCACAGGTTTAGATCTATAGTATTTTATATAAATTTATGAAGCAAAGTTTTTAAAAATCTTGCCTCAAATGTTGAGGAAAAATATAAATATTAAGTTAAAAACAAAATTGATACAAATTGCGGAACAAAGTTACATAGTATGGGTGACACAGATTCACCTGTTAAAGAGATATATAAATCATACATTTACATTTCACTTTCTACAGGAAAAAATACTTATTCAATTAAGTAAAAAAGCAACTAAATTAGGAAGTTTGGGTTGATATTTGTCGTTGTTTTGTTATTTGTTGTTATCTTGACAAAGATAAATATCGAAAGTAAGGGTGGCCATTTTGTTTCTCAATTGAAAATCAGTTGGGGGAAGTCCCCTATTTTCAACAGAGCGCAAAAACAACATCTATTTCTCCTTCAGCTACTATAATCAGATCAACATCATAACTTCACAAAATTGAATTAAAGCCTTGCGGAACTGAACAGACCTTTCGGCTTCAGGGCAGCATCCGTGGTAAGCCTTAAGATTAGGCAGTTTGATTTTTTTAAAAAGAAATTAGTCTGAGTCTAGAATTACATCTCACTCTCAGGTGATAGAGGGTGCTGTACGTAACTTGCACTAAACCTTTTAAATTTCGAAAATATTTTGCGGCCAGTTTGTTGGCGGTACAACAGGGTAAATTTACAGTAGTTTAATATGGATCGTTTAATAAATGAGACAGTTGGCGGATGGCAGATGGGGGTGTAAAGGCTTAAATACTATGTTTTTAGTTTTAATAAGAGTTTTACGGCACTTGCAACACAATAAGGTCATCATAAAGGAGGAGGAGAGATCAAGGATGATAGATGTTTGATAGGAAAGAAGTTCAGAAGCAAACCACACCAGAGCACCTGCCAACCACCCACAAATACTATGTTTATAATAAGGATAGTCTTGTCATAAATTGGCAAAACCCGGCGGTAAGTGGGGCTGGCAAAATATCCAGGTTCAACTGTGTATAATATGTACGTGTGTATGTTCTTACCGTAGAGTCGACTGCTTCACTAATTATAAGAATAAATTGGACCTCAGTCAGGCTGTCTCAGTCTGTGTATCCACAGGAAAAAGGAATCTGGAAGAGAATTAGATCTAGATCTTGTCAAAATGAATGATGTTAGAATAATAAATAATAATACGGATAGCAGAAAGGACCTAGACATTATGCAAAACTAATAATACTCAATATAATATATATAACACACTTCTTACTGACTTCTAGGCCTACTTCTTGCTGGTCAACAAGGTCAAAGAACTGAACATCAAGCTGTTTTCACTGATTGACGCACAAGTCAAACAGGAAAGCGATCGATGATTTAAAAAATGAAGTGAGCCGTTGGAGGCTATTCGGATTCAAATTCCAGTGCGTGTGCGCAATCACCGGTTACTTGTACCGTAAGCAAAGTCTACTAGATCTATACTCGAGTCCGAATAGTCTCCCGTTGCTATTCGGACTTTTAAACTACTGGTAGGCTATTTAACATTGCGTTTCACGACTACAAAGGGATCAAAACATAAAATTCATAATCAGTCCTAAATAAGACAGCCCCCTCCTCCCCTTTCTCTCTCTCTTTCTTTTACTTTTTCCCTCTCCATCTTACTTTCCCAGGCCCGCCATCGTAGAAATCGAGGAAGGACAAGGTCAAATTGCTTGTCTGCTTCACATCCAGTACACCTAGATCTAGTGATTGCGCACGAGCATTGGAGTTTGAGTCCAAATAGCTTCACGTGATCTTAGGCCTACGGTATCTTAATATCTAGAAGATTTCTAAATCTAGATCTAGATCTAGATCATTCTAGACTTCTAGATCCTAGTCTAGTCTAGCTTAGGCTACTTACCATAGAGTCGACTGCTTCACTGCTCATAAAAATGGGGGGGGGGGGGGGGGGGGGGGGGGGGAATTGGACATCAATGAGGATCACTGTGCATCTGCCAACATGAATAGAGAATCTGAAAGAGAATGAATAAAAAATATTTTTGCTTTAAAAAATAATCTAAATTTTATTAACTTCACTTTGACTGATGTCAAAGTATAGATCTAGAATAAATAATAGAATGATCTATATATCGAATAGCCACTTTCATTTTTTTTTTTAAACACAGCAGAGAGAGGTCCTAGACACTGTGATACTGATAGACCTGCAATGAGAACAATGTTAGGCAACAGAAATAATCTGTTGGAGAGAGAAGAAGTTGAAGCACGGGAATTTCCGACGAGATGAAAAAAAAACCCAAAAGGGAGATCAGGACACCAAAAAATTGGGACTAGGCTATATATACTATATAATCCCTCTAGAGATTATCATTTAAGATATCTAGGGCCTATTATGATTCTTCAGACCATAAATCTAGCCATAGATCTAGATTCTAGACTAGCTAGATTCTAGATCTAGATCTATTATCTAATCAAAATCCAGATTTCTACTGATAGCCATATATCGTAATAATATACTCTACTCTTCGCCACTCTCGAAAATTGATAAAATGACAATGAAACTTCACACACTTCTGTGCAGTGTGCACACATAAAAGGCACGTGTATTTTCAAAAAAATAAACGACAAATCAAAGGAAAAAGCATAAATATAAAGTAGGAACGTACCTTGAACTTCAACTCGATACTGCTCACAAACCCGACGTCTGACGGTCACGCAAACAATTCAAACATTCATAAATCTTGATCTATCTCTACGACTCCGACCTGGAACTCTGGAACTCCGCGCCTTTTAAAAATGGATTGGATTGACCGGATATGACGCAAAAATGACCCTTCAAAATAGGGTACTCCTGTCCAATTGGCCAAACGAACACCACGTGGCTGTGAGGCGAACCGGGGAAGCCCGGGGGCGGACGACCGCCTATGTGCGTCTAGGCTACTTCGGCCCTACTGGAAATACTCAATCGATCGTCACGAAACATAAACACCATTGTTGTGAAGATGTAGGCCTAGAGCGCTCTCTCTCCTTTCAATGGCCTTTCAAACAAGAAGGCCCACCTGGACGTGAACTAAAGCCGCTATCGCTATACAGTGCAGCCTCTCTATAATGGCACATCGCTATCGCTATACAGTGCAGCCTCTCTATAATGGCACATCGCTATCGCTATACAATGCAGCCTCTCTATAATGGCACATCGCTATCGCTATACAGTGCAGCCTCTCTATAATGGCACATTGGGCTATGTCGGGACTAGAAGAAAATGTCGTTATAAAGAGTTGTCGTCATAGAGAGGCAACCCAAAATTACTAACGATATATATAGTATAGGAAATATCTGGACCTGGGCTCCATGTCTACAGAGGATGTCGTTATATCGAAGGTCGTTATTGAGAGGCTAAACTGTAATAGGCTAGCGTAATAATAATATGCATACGTATCGATCCCCGGGCAACGGCGATCGCGCACGGTCAGAAGCGGGTGCGTGGCTGGTACAACCGAACTACCTAATAAGATAAACATCAAGTAACTAAATACTTGAACGTAATGAAACAAAATATAGCTATATAATCAGATTTAATAACATTAAAACATGTCTGAGCATTTGTTTGACGATCAAAGCAAGATATCTCGGGGGCTTTTTTGCAGGCTGTCCCATGCAGGCAAGGACTGGGTAATTTCAAAAGAGGCCGGGGTGACTTTTAACTGCGCTTTTCAAGCAGTAAAATGCACATATACTATATAGATCTAGGCCTGGTCGAAAATGGCTAAGTTGAAATGACAGAGAGATACATGAACATGGGAAGGCAGAGAGACAGACAGACAGACAGACAGACAGACAGACAGACAGACAGACAGACAGACAGATAAATAAAGAGAGAGGGGTGGTGGAGAGAGACACGGGGACGGGGGAGGCAGAAGGAAAGAGATTAGAGAGATAAAGAGAGATACCATGAGAGAACGAAAGAGAGGGTGTATGTGTGTGTGTGGTGTGTGTATGAGAGAGAGAGTTAGAGAGAGAGAGAGAGGGAGAGAGAGAGAGAGGGGGAGAGAGGGAGAGAGAGA